TGCCCCCCTTAGGGCAAGGGGGAGGGAGGGACGAAGGGGTCAGCTGGGCGCTCGGGAAGCGTGCCATCAGAATCGGCTCCTTGGAAAATCCTTATGTTGCTGCAAAATCATTTTGTTTGGCGTGCTGAAGGCCTGTGAACCAGGCCCCTGGGCAAAGGTGTCGTGGGAGGTTTCTGCATTCGCTTAGTGTTTTATTCTGTGGTATAGCCTAGAAGTCATAACCGTGGTATTAGTCACTCTACAGATGTGTCATTAATGACTGTCTGCTCCAAATAGAGTCACAGGCAAGGTGGAACGAGCAGATGGGACATGTACGCCTGCCAAAGCGTCATGGGAGCGGCATCACGGAGGAGGGGATGTGCCTGTCATAGTGATCCTAGTAAGTCACAGTCTGGCTATTTGCAGGTGGATCTGTTCTGGGTGCGCTTTGGAGTGGGTCACTCTGTCCCATCCGAAGATGTGCCCGTCTTTCTGTCTTAGCTCCTGTGGCTGCAGCCCGAAATGCCCAGCAGAACCGGTTAAGCAAATGATCCAACAGAATGCGTTAGTGTTGTAGCTCACTTTCTCCTTCGACAACAAGAACGTTCTCCTTTGAACTTAGTGGGTTTTTTTTTTGTCTTGCATGTGAACAACAGAATTGCTACAGCTTTTATTTATTTATTTTTTTGGAGCAGATGAATTTCTTTGTGGTGGCACTAGGTGCTGGCTGACGCAGTTGTCCTGCCCTCCCCGTTCCCTCGCGCGGTCCCTGTGCTCCTTGGGGGCAATTCCAAGCCGGGCAGCTTTGATTCATTGTTAGTGGATTAAAAGTGGTGTCGGGCGTAGAGGCTGGAAATCGCTGTCAGAAGAGGTATCGGTAGCCTGAGAGGAGAGCTTTGTTGTCAGCAGACAGCAGAGGGAAACCTGCCCTCCCTTTTCGGTGTCCGCTAACAGGTGCTCGGTAAGAGTCCCCTGAAAGGTCGGCTCTGCTCTGGTGTCTTCTGCGGAGGCTAATTTGAAGTAATGAGAATCCAAACACTGGTAACTTTCTCATCCTGCTGATGGCCTCTGCAGAGAGACGGAACAGCTTATTTTGAAGCCTATATCACGTTTTGGTCACCAAACTAGCAGGTATCAGAGATGCAGGGAAGAGCTTTGAGCTCTGCTATTTCCAAAAAATTACTTTCTCCTTGCTGGGGTACTTTTATTTTTACAGCGGGCAATAGGAATTGTTCACTCGGGGTCTCTGAAACAAAGGCTTTTCCATGAGTAGAAACATATTGGTTATAAAGCACTGGTTTTCATTTGGTGGGCTGTTCTTCCACAATAGCATTCACTTAGCCTTTGGTTGGGCCAGGTGTTCCCATACCCTCCCAGCTATAGGAGGGCAGATCAGCTTCCTAGCTCTGTCCCGTCCCTCCTAACTGGAGGGATTTGGAGAAGCTGTGGCTGTGTCTTGCTTTTTATTTGATAGGGAGATTGGTGAGGCTTCTTATTGCTATTCCTAATAGCAGGAGTTGCAATGGTGTCGCAGTGCAAATGCACGTTAGGTTTTGCCCTGTTAGCATCTGGTCCAAGCAGGTAGCTAGGAAGAAGGAAATGATGAGGCTGTGAAGAAAGCAGACATAGCAGGGATGCGACTTGGGACTCCTGGTGCTCAGTAAAATGCCTGAAAGTTCATGTCTGGTTGCTCCAAAACGGCTTCAAGCACGAAGTTCCCGATCAAGCATCCCTCCTGGTGAATGGGAGGAGTCCACTGGCTTTTGCGTGGTGGTGGGCGATGGATACCACTACTGATATCTGTTCCAGCTGACCTGAGCGTTTCCAGAAATAAGTAACACAGCGCAGTGGCACTCAGAGCCATAGCGAGTCGAACGTGTTCTGCATTTTTATGTGCTGAGTTGCAGTGTTGCTAACGCTTATTTTTACTGAATTTAGAAATATCAACTTGAAATAGGGGTGGCTGGTTAACAGTGTTGATGTGCAGTGAGATTTACAAAACAGGCTTGGCTGGAGAAAAGCACTTTGGTTTGGAGTTAATTACTGTATGAAGTGTAGTCACAGTGCTCGAAATGGATGCAGTCCAAAATCAATGAGCTATTTAAAAAAAAAGGAAAAAAACCCGACTATCATCAACCAGAACCCTGCTTGTGGCTTCCATTACTTACTGCTGGACTATAGAAAAGTAGAAGTGCTGTTTTTTAAATGTTTTTTGTAATCCCATAATACTTGGTCTTTTATTTAGAAAAATTGTTACCCACCCCTTTTCACTTGTATAATTCTGCTAAGCAGAGTTTTGTACTCTGCTGACCTCTGAGCTGACAGTTGGCCAGGATGTATAATTTTGTTTTGGCTCATTACAGAAACAGCTCCCTACAGAAAGATAGAGAAGCTTCGTTA